AACTCAAAACTCATATCCAACACCAAAACAAAAGATCCAGTAACTCAAAACTCATATCCAACACCAAAACTAAAGATCCAGTAACTCAAAACTCATATCCAACACCAAAACTAAAGATCCAGTAACTCAAAACTCATATCCAACACCAAAACTAAAGATCCAGTAACTCAAAACTAAAATCCAACACCAAAACAAAAGATCCAGTAACTCAAAACTCATATCCAACACCAAAACTAAAGATCCAGTAACTCAAAACTCATACCCAACACCAAAACTAAAGATCCAGTAACTCAAAACTCATATCCAACACCAAAACTAAAGATCCAGTAACTCAAAACTAAAATCCAACACCAAAACAAAAGATCCAGTAACTCAAAACTCATATCCAACACCAAAACTAAAGATCCAGTAACTCAAAACTAAAATCCAACACCAAAACAAAAGATCCAGTAACTAAAAACTTATATCCACCAGCATCAACAAAGATCCAGTAACACATGAAGTAACGGTCAAAATTTTAACGGCTATTTTGAAATTTAAAATTATACTATCAAACTCATATGTTATGCAAAAGTCGGCTAAGTCGATGCAAAAAATATATAAAAGTTAATTTAATTAAGTTTCGGTACGAGGATATGAAATATGAAGTGGATTCGGTTTGCCTACAATATGGCAACGATTGATTGCAAAAAACCCGAAGTCTCTATGTGCTTTCATTGCTGAGATCTCACGGTACCAGCCTGCCAGCCTGCCTGCCAGCCAAAGTGAAGATAAAAGCGTATTGTTCCTTAGGAAAATACGCTAAAAATGAGAATAAGAACATAAAGAAAGAATTTACTTAAAGCTCATGATTTCGTGCCTACTGAACATGCTTCATTATTTCTGTTACCAACAATTGCAATGAATATTTAGGTAGAAGGAAAGGAAATTTGGAATTTATGAAGACATTCATTGATATTATGCAATATATTTTGACATATTTTCTTGTTTGTACCATTTGCTTTATACAAAAATCGAATATCTTACTTCCCATGCCTTAATTCATATTTATCGTCAACAAAATAATTTACTTGTTTTAAGCATTAAACTACCTATTGATCCACAAAACAATAGTATGATAGATTTCCATGACACAATTTTTATTTTTTCAGGACATTACCACCGACAGACTATCATTAGCATTTCCTTCGCGTAACCTAAACGTTCTGTTATGTACAATATTTTTTTTACTACAGATATGTTGCTTTATTAGATTGTTTGCTCCCTAAACAAATTTCCTATGCATACTTTATGCTTTATGTCTACCATTTATGTGCAAAACACCCCTCAACTTTTTTGTGTGGAGTTGAAATAATAAAAATGAATAGAAAAATCGATGCAATGCGACTGGATGTGAATGGAGTGGGGAAATTTTTCATGTCTTGACGCTGTTTCTTCCTTAGGGAAAATAACAACAATTGTGGAATATAAAAAAATAGAATACACTATGATTTATTATGCAATTTACTCACAATATGATAAATACATAACATTTTGACTCCTCTTCGATTAAATGAGATAGATGAAGTTGTTAATTGTGTATGAAATTTTAATTAATGGTTAAAACTTTAATTAAAAATTTTCAAAGGAATTTAATTTCAATTCATGTCTAAGAAACATTAATTTTCCGTAATGTGCAAATTTATGTACAAAACATTGAAGACTTCATAGAAATGATGAATGGATGGAATTTAATTGGATTTAACAGACGTAAATTATGAAATTTTTGGATTGCTTTTTAAGCTTATGAGTGTGTTATTTGCTGTAGATTTGGAAACTGACTTGAATTGAGTAATATCAGCAATTTAAGGACCATATCTCACTGCACATACTCAGTTTCAGATTCAAACTTGATTGCTGAAGTTAAGCCACATATGAAGCTATGATTTTTTATTCTTATTAATAAAATACCTGCAGTCATAATCCTTAAAAAGATGTGATCATGTTGTTATTATCTTCCAAAACCCAAAAAGTTAATATTTTCGACAACTTCATCATCGGAATTAACATCGACAGAATATCCAAAAAAAGAATCAAAATTCAGAAAGCCACATAGGATATTGAAAATTTTTATATGCAGCAGTTGTGCCAATAAAGAGAGATCGTTATCTCCAAAACTCAATCTCAATATGAAGTTATTTTGGGATATTAATAGAACTAGCAGTGTGGCTTTCGGTGTCTCAGACGAAACGAAACTTTATAATGACCGCATTATGATAATATCTGATTGTTCCTCATCCATACACAAAATGCAGTAAGAATTTTTAATTGCCAGACGTTCATTCCACTTTTTTAATTCATAAATTTTATTTTGGACATATATCACACATGAGAAATATTAATTACGGCTGCAAACTTTAAATATTTATCGTATGTCTGGAAAAACACACGTGAGGTCTAATGACACTGCAATCCTAAAGGGCTAGTCGGAATTGAAAAAAAAATATTGTGATTGACTTAATTGCTTTTTAATGATGTCCTATTTGCTTCCTGTCATTTAAATATGAAAAATACTCTACATTATGAAGTAATTTTCATGCAGTTCACCGCAAGGTCAAGACATTTCACTGCATGACTGAAATTACATAATAAGAAAATTATGCGAATTAAGCTTGAAAATCAATTCTGATGAAAAGGAACAGTTTCCATTTCATTTGAAAAATTCAATTGCTACCTACTTCAGCAGGCAGTAATTCACTAGACTGCAATTTAAAGGAGAAAATTGTGACTTAATGGCAGCAATAAAGAGAAATTTCACGAACAGGCGAATGAATAATTTAATGTTTTGATACTCTTTCATCGAAAGCGAATTTGTGTAATGAGAAATGTTTTGCAATTTCTACGCACTGACTTGCTTCAAATAATTAATTACTTTTTTTTTAAAAGACAAAAAGAAAATGTTTTGAAGTAATTTGAAATCACGCCAAATAAACATAAAATCAGTGTGAATTTGGTATAAATTGCTGCTAATTTAACGTTTAATTCGAGTCGATTGATCATTTTTTGCACATAAACTATGATTTACTATTAGGTTTACTAGTAATTTAACTTTTTAAATCAAGGAATTTATAAGCTTTTTACGTACGTATTTTGATACTCCTAAATTTCCGTACGTTTTTTCACGTAGATTTTTAAAATTCAAAAAAATTCAAAAATTCAAAAGTCGACAAGAAATCAGTTCGTGCCTTATGGACACCAAAAATCATTAGTAATAATACCTTACTGCCGCAAAATGTAAACGTTTGTAGAAATTTTCATTATTCACGTCAGTCTGTTTATAAAAAAAATTTCTCTCAAAAAAAATCATTGTTAATTTAATTTTGATTTCCTGCCTGATGAGGCACTCAACCCTGAATTAAATATTATATTTTGTGTGCCTGAATGTTATACAATCTTCCACATATAAATTATAACTCTTCAATTTTAATGCGTAATTTTTGTTTTGCTTAGCAATTTTGTGTTGCCACAATATGCCATATGCTAAATGATTCATTCACTTCTGGATGAATTGGCACGCGACATAAATTTTCACATTCATTACAGTTCCTTTCATCTGTGTGAAGCTATTTAAATTTCCATGGAACTCATCTAAATTAGTGACTTTATGTAATAATCAATGTCGGTAGAAAAGTTCTTTAATTAATTTTTCATGTTTAACCAGGGCTCTTATTAAAAACTTTCAAGTGATTACATGAAAAAAATTTATTTTCTTTTGACGTTTTTATGATTAAAGAAAAACACTTGATATAAATTTTTTATATAACATGTGATGCACTGCATTTCAACCTGTCTTTAAAGCATCATCATGATCGATCGATCTTTCTCTGTTATGCTGTAATTTTCGGCTTCTCAAGCGGCAATTCTTCTTATGAGAAACATGGAAGGAAAAATAATCAAAAATGCTGTATTGTCATCATGTTCTTTAATTTACAATATGTTGTGACTTTCGGCAATTGTGAAAAGGGAGTGAGAAACTGAGAAGACAGCATAAGTCTTGACAAATTTCTAAAATGTCAATTTTATAAGATAATGTTAATTAAATTAAGACACAAAATATGTTAACACACTTTTGGATAATTGATTGGGGTGCTTGTTAAGGCAAGATGCAACTAGAACTGCAAGAATAATTTTTCCATTTAAATATTTTTGAACAAAAACCCGTTAAAATTTGAATTTTCGAAAACCGTTTAAAAAAACTTTTTCCCTTTATTTTGTAATAATGCTAAGTATTACCCAACATAAATGTCATTAAACTACTCAAATATGTCCAACTAACTCAAGCGAGTACTTTTATTTCACGACTTTCAAGCAATTTTTCAACATCTTCAAAGAATTGAGCTGTGCTCATTATGTCATTGCACTATATACAGCTAGCATGAATTTTTATATGTTTGTTAAACCTTAACGTGGAAAATAAATATTACAAACCATTTAACGTGATGCTGATATAATAAATGAATAAATAATTTCACGAAAGCTTTCATGATCCACTTTAGTTCATGTAATAATCTGCTGGTCATTTCCCTATCAAGCAGCTCTTCAGTCAAATTAAGTTAAAGTTTAACTTTAATGTGTACTTTGTGCGTTCTCACGCAGGAATAATAGAGTCGAGGGTGCTATGAAAAATCAATAGACATAAAGGATTGTTTTTGTATTAATCAGATTTCATACTAACAACATCAATTATACGCAATGTTTTCATTTAGTCCATTATCGATCAAATAAAAGTGAAGAAATGGAAGTAAAGGAGGAAATTGCGTGTTAGTCCTACGTATTGGTAATTACAGATAATAAATGAATGATAAAGGAATTCTGTATAATATTTTGACGGTCAATGCTCTCCCACGTCGAAATTCAAACTAGCTAGTTTTTTGGATATGTGGCATCTAACCAATAAAATATTTTTTTACTCTATACCTACATGTATCTAATATTTATTTGTTTATTCCATTTATTTACAGAGGCTTGTACAAGTCGAAATGTTCCGAGACCTCGCACAACAACTTCAACAACTTCTACAACGACATCAGCTCCCACAACAACACCAAGACCAAATATTACATTCCCAACATTTAAATGTCCGGGTGACTACGCTAAATGGTACTGCCTAAACGGTGCAACATGCTTCGCCGTACAAATTAGTGGAGAATATCTATTCAATTGCGAGTAAGTTTAAATAATCACGTCTTGCCTTTAAATATGCATTCTCACGTTTTTGTGGTTCACTAGACGTCTTGTGCGTTGAGCATGCAAGTGATTTTTTTGTCGTGGTAAAATTTAACGGATGTTTTGGATACTGATAGAGGTTACTTGAAAATGTGTAATGAAAGTTTCACACCTCTTTAAATTGAAAAGTTTCAACCTGAAAGGGTTTTTAAAAACTCTCCTGATTACACCTGTAACTCCTTAGGTCTCATTCATTCGATAATTGTCATTTGTGCACGGCTTTTTTTTATTAAGGGGCCGTTCACTTATGACGTCCAAAGGGGGGGGGGGGGGGTCAGCAAGAAAAGAACAATAGAAATTCTTCGAAATCCATTGTTCTTTTTTAAAAAATGACTTTTAATTTCGGACGTCATAAGTGAACGACCCCTAATCTGCAAGCCACAAAGAAATATGCAAAAAAAAAGATAAATAAGTAGCTCAAGAGATTTACAGTCAAAAATATCCAAAAAAAAAGAAGAAGACATACGATGGAAATTATGACGCAACTGGCTGTTCTATATAGTATAATAAATGTGTGACCTGAAAACCTTCTAATTTCTTAAATAAAAAAGAACAACAAAAAGAAGAGAGAAAATTTATTCTCAAGGAATTTTGTATATCGATCAATTTAACTGCTACTTACTTGGTGTGTGCTTTTTCCATTCAATCTCACTCTCTATATGTGCGATGACTCGTGACCTCCATATAGCACTTTCAGCATGAATGTTCGCGTGTGATTATATAATCAGAGAGTCCTTCTTGTCGACATATTTGAAGAGAAATGGAAATAAATGAAAAATCTCCGACCCACCTCAGCAGTTTATTTGGCTACCTGCTGACTTATACATTATGAGACTGCTAGGCTATTTTTTGAGAATTAAAAGTCATTTATTTAGCAGCTAAATGTCAATAAACTCTGTGGACATGTCATGTAATGTCGCTAATTTCCATCATCAATAAATTTGTTGTTTCTTTCTTATCAACAATAAAGTATTTCGCCGGTGCTACTAAAAGGTAACATTTAACAACTTCCCATTACCATACTAAGGCTGGCTGGCGTCGTCGTTGGGTGTTAATGTATGAGGATTTAAAGTTTTATATGTACAATGAATTTTTATGAAAAACTTCCTTTTGCTACCGTGAATTATGCAAATCAAGGCTTTATTACAATCAGAAACAATTAATACATATTTTTCATGCCAATGGGCCATTAATGTGGAAAGGATTTATTCGCATTTGATAGTATTACTAATAACCAGCAAAATGGCAATTTGTCTGATATCAAAAATTTCTCTCTCAGCCACAAAAGTCATAAAATTGTCAACTGTTAATATTTATTTTAATGATAATAATTCAAATTAATTTTTATTTTGTTTTATTTATAGATGTCGAGACGGCTACATGGGCCCGCGTTGTGAGTACAAAGAACTCGAGGGATCATATTTAGGTAAGAAGTAGCAAAATTTAATTTCTTAATTTTCACATCCGTACTTAAACAACTTTAATTTTTATTTCTTTATAACAGCAACAAGACCTCGTGTGATGTTAGAAACAGCTAGTATAGCTGGCGGTGCGGTTGTAGCGATATTTTTGGCATTTGTTGTCGCTAGTTTTGCCTACGTGCGATGGCATCAAAATAAGAAGCGTGAATTATTAGAGATTGAAAGTTCTCAACATCCGCAAAATGGACATGCAACAAATGGACATTACAATGCCGGTGCAGATGTTGTTGATGGACGATGTAATTGTCAGCAATCGCAAGTAGCAGTAGCATATAGTAGTCAAGTCGATAGTAATTTAAGAAATGGTGATAATAATGAACTTCAGCATCCCCAGCAGCAACAATTCCAAACTGTATGTCACGAGCATGTGCATAGAGTACCAATGCGTCCATTCGGACCACATCATGATTACCAAAAAATTTCTATGAGCGATGCGATAATGCATAGGTAGACGAAACATCGATTTTATTAGATGACATTTTTATGTCCTCAGGACTTGTTTAAAAAAAAAAAAAGATTCAAAAAATCCGATCAATCGCAACAAATTAGACTTTAAAATTGTTTGTTTTATTCTCGATCCAAGAACTTTATTTTTAAATAATCTCAAAGAAAAATTGCCAATTACAACGATCAATTGAATTTTAAAATTCAAATATTTTAATTGAAAACCAATCGAATTAGTTCATCTTTTAAACATTTTTAATCAAAATTTTAAATTGATGGCCATTACAAAGATAATATTCAGATTTATAAATGGAGATACCTCAAAAAAACAAACAAAATAGAGAGACATACAGCGAATGTGCATTAAAAATTTACCATAAAATGATTCTTGAAATTTAAAAAAAGGCATTCACAAAATGTTGACTGCAAATGCAATTAAATATAATGAAACTTTCATCCATTCCATTTCCCTTGTTCCCTCAGCATAAGTAAATGTATCTCAATATTTTGCATTAAATTGTAAATGAAACACTACCGCAGAATAATTATTCAATAGTTACTATTACATATAGTTGATTCCATAATATTTCGGTACATAAATTAAAAGAAAACAGTGAAAATGTAGGACATTGAAAGGAAAAATCGATAACACTCAGCACATTTGACTTTGGGGTTTGATGGAGAGTGAAAGCTATACTCATGTGGGTAGCTAGTAGAGAAGTTGTTCGTTGCTTTATTTGATTAAACGTTTATAGTGCATTTTCCTCTTGATTGATTTATTAGTTGACCTAATTAGAGGAAGTATCTATGTTTGATAGCTGTTATAAAAATTTTCTTCAAGTTTGTTAACATTTATGAGGAGTTTATTACCCTTGATTTGCTAAAAATCTGAAATGCACAATCAATTCGGTATTGGAACCTGCTTTTCACAAACAGTAGGAATGAATTCCATCATTCAAAGTCAAACTGAGTAGCAACCCCAACAAATCGGAAGGAAAATGTGCTAAAAACTGAATTTATTGCCGCGAACTCAACAAAAAGGAAGCTTTCTTCTTTCCTTCAAATAAATATTGAAGGCCGATGAATAAACCTTGCCTTAATATTGTATATTAATCTATGTAATGCAACAACAAATTTATGAGCCCGTAAAAAAAGTTCGTTCTTTCTTTCTCCTACCTTTCACTATCATCTTCATTCTTTGCAACCTCTAAATTTTTTATAACACTATTGAGGTTGTAGGGATATGAAAAATTCATACCAATAGATTTATTAAAACATTTTTATAGATACACATATTATAATTCACAATATTAATAAAATGATAAAAATGTAAGAGATATAAATAATAGAAATACATGTGTAGCCAAAGAAATAATTTTTAATATAACAATTGAATTTCATGAAACGATTAAGATTATGAAATGGAAATGCATTGAAAGTGATTGAAACGAGGGATGGGAACTTAAAAGATAGTAGGTTTTTGCCTTGAACTTTGAAAATTACAACATCCAGTAAACTTTACTTTGGTCAATTAATTAAGTTTAAAGCACTTGGACAACAATTTATCAAATGAAATTAAGTCTAGAACACTTTAAACCACATCCAGTAAAATCATACGGCCTGTTTCACTAAAGTGGATTATCCTCGATTTCGGATTATCCACTTCAGTTTTTCGGAAATATCTCCAGACGCTTAAGATTATTAAGAGATCTAAAGTGTGATCTCATTAAAGTGCTTTGCTACTCAAATTAACATATACTAAGATTTTTTATATCTTCATTAGTTTGAGAATTATAGCAAAAATTGAAGTTAATCTTCTACATTTGGCTAGAAAATTGAAAAATTAATACTTCTTAATGAAAAGTAAAAGTTTAAAGTGTACAGAAATTTCAGGCATACTTTACTCTTTTATAATCCAAAATTAGAAATACCACACCTTCCATAAAGTTTAAGATATTTACAAAAAACTGAAATGGATAATCCGAAATCGAGGATAATCCACTTTAGTGAAACAGGTCAATAAAGTTACATCCCATTTAGATAGCTTCCAAATCAACAACAGTCTGTAAAATTTAACTTCCTATTTTTAAGTTTCTATCCCTCACGTGCTAACAATCGAATTATAAAGAAAATGATAAAGTTGAAAATTCAATGCATCGATGAAATTGGAAAGTCACAAATAAAAAAATAGAAAGTAATTAGCGCCTTAGAAATACTATAAATTATTAAAAATATATTAATATAATAAAAAGAAAATACAGTTCATTGTATAATACAAAGAAAAAAATTTTTGATGTAGATTCTCATCGTTATTGGATCAGTGAAATATATTTCAATTTTCTTTTATTTTACTGACACTTTTTGATTTCCTGTTTCAACATTTTATTATTTTTTTTTTGTTGGATGGATTCGACTATTCTCGATTCTAAAGGCTATTCTCATAAATGTATCAATTGTAAATATTTTAATGTGAATTATCAAAATGTTGAGCTTACTTGCGTGAAGTTAGAGTGATTTAAATTGGGAGGTAGTTCGGAGTAGGTTTTTGATGTATCTTAGGGTTGCCCTAGAGTATAGTGCCTTTGGTTTGAGCTATGTTATACGGCAACTCGAGCTAGAATTCAATCTATAAGACTAGGGTTGCACTAGGTAAGGTTTACAACAATGATAAAAATAAGATGTCATAACTTCTATCCTTCAGACATCCAAGAATCAACTGATTGATACTCAAAACAACAAACTATCCTCAAAAATATCTCACACTAATTCAACGCAAGTAAAAACTGTGAAGAGCTATATAAAATTGATTTTTATTGAAGTAAAAGCGTGCTGAACAATGAAGTATTAAAAAAAAGCTATTTAAAAAATATTTGCAATTTTTAATAAGAATTAAAACGATTTTAATGCTTTAGATTCGCAAAAGCTGCGAACTGAAAAAAAGTTTTATTTGTAATATTTTTTTTTATTTAAAAAGATGTGAATTGAAAATATAATTAAATTATTATTGTATCTAAAATATTCATTTTTTCAATTAATGATTAATATTCGAGAAGCATGTGCTGCTGTGTTGGTGGAAACTTCATTGAGTCTCATTGTCAATGCAACAGAGTAAATTAAGCTTTTATCTTGTGAGCCATATAGTTGTTGGACATGTGATTTTATAGAAATCACTAAGAAGTGACCAATGAATTTTCCACCTTCCTACGTTGGCTATTTTATAAGAGAAATAAATGAACAATGGAATCTGAAACCAAAATAATGAAATTTTTGATAAGAAACTTTTTGTTTGGTATCTTCAAGAGTCCGGAGATGACAAAAAAAATCGGAATGAGAAACGATTGAAAAATAAAAAAGAAATTAGGAAAAAAAAAATTAAATCAAGCATTTTTTTAACTTAATATTTTTCAGGTTTAATACTAAACATTCCTTCAATATCAAGCAAACATCATCAATTTATGACACATTTTCATTCAGTGAATTTCATTTAATTTCTAGACGAGACCTTGCAGTTCAGTCAGTCGTATTATTAAGATTACACTAAATTATCTGTGATTAACAAACCTCTTATCACATCCACTTCCATTTCAAGGTAAATCGCTGATATTTTCAACGAAACTTTCACACTCATCAATTTGTTTGAAGTTACTTAATGTTACTGAGTCACAATGACTTTAAAGGTATTTAAGGAATGTATCTTATCAGACTAATTCAACATTTACTGATTACACAATGAACATTTTTTAGAAATAAACAAACTTTTGTTAAACTTATAAGAGACACGCGTGAATGATTGACGTATGTGTCTTATCACAGAAAATAAAGAGCAGGTGAGTGCAAAACGTGATTTATTGGAAGCGCATATTCAATAGTCAGGAATTCAGAGTTTATACTGTTGATATGGCATACATGTGCAGTCATCAAGCATATCTTATCGTAAATTACGTCTACCGGATTATAAAGAAACCCGACAGCATTATCTGCGTCAATAAATCAAAAACTTGACTTATAAAAAAGTAATTAAAGTCACTATGCATTAATTATGAAGACAAAACGGTTGACAAAGTGCGAACAATAGAGCCATTAAGTGCGATATTGGGATAAGGTGCTAAAAAAATAATTAACTTGAATGTTATCGTTTGGGAATAACTTTTTCTGTGTGTTTAGTCAATTATTCAATTTGTAAATTTTTAATTGTGCAATACATTGTTCATGCATAAATAATATACACCTATCTAGCTACCCGAGCTGTACAATGCAGTCACAAAAGCAGCTTAATCACTGGATTAACGAGAAAAGGTGTTTTAAGAGTTATTTCACTTAAACAAATGAGATAAGCTGAAGTGTGCTACTCGGACTCTAAATTTCTTGATTACAGTTTAGCTTGTTTGTTATACAAACAGTTGAACATAAGTGGATACATATAAATTGTTGCTTTTGTCTTTATTTCTTTTTCGAGCAAATATTTCAACAGCTTTATGTTAATTTCCCAGCAAAATGACTGCAAAGAAAGAAAATTTTCCCAAGCCACTTTAGAATGGAACATTTAAAAATTATTTTCTTAACATTTGTGCAAACATCTTCATCTCCTATTATGTGCCTGCCATATAATGGAAGAGATGTGTGTGCATGTAGAAAAAGTAATTCCCACCGCATCGCCCCTTTGGAATGTTATTTACTACGTTCAGTGGAGATGCAATTGCTGAGTCATTAATTTTACCCCCGAAATGAAAACAAGCATTAACCCTTCCTTCCTTCCTCTCCGTATTTTTATATAATTCCGTTAGACATGTACGTTCGTTCGGTTCCTTTAAAACAGGCATCAAATTATAAATATGTGAATTTAAGCGTTAAATTAAATTTCGATTGAATCCCATTGAAAGATTTCAGTTTTTAAGGACTGAACATGAAGGGTTCTCGACTGGTGCAATTTTACTGTTAATTAACTTCCTAAATATCTCTCAACATTACCCCCTATATGACTATAATTTCATTATTATTGAAGTTTTAACATATTTAATTCTTATGTTAAGTGAATTGAGAATATTCTCAAATAACAATTATCATGCCTCTTAACTTGTCTTGCTTCCTATTGACTCATTTACATATATTGAAATGTGTCATTCAATTTTCATACTCATAAGCACGACAAGCGAATCTATTACGATTGAAATTGCACGACATAGACATAATTTTAAACTATTCGGCATCAGAAATGGGAATAAAATATATAAATTATTTATGGCTTGCATAGACAATGAAGTCTATACGATACATACATCCCCAAAGCGTGTGTTGAAGTTCATTGAACTTTTATTGAGAGACGAATTATTTGTTTTTTTCAGCATGGCTTTTTGAATAAACTTGAGATAATGTTCAATGTCGGAAGGCTAAAAAACTGAAAGTGTCTCAATAAATAGGAAATCTTGATTGCGGAAGGAGAGGAAAAGTTCTGGCAATGACAAAATATTTTTCTTTATTGCTTCTTGCTGTTTTGCCAAACTCAAATGAAAAAGGGAAAGCTCTCTGGCTTTTTGTGTCTCATCCTTCTTCTTCTCAACATCCGATATCATAAATTTGTTGAGAGAAGAATTGAATGCGATGAGAAATAAATGGCAATAACTTTGCCCAGACGTCTGGATTATTTTAAAGGATGTCGTGAAGATAAAAAAAAAGTCCTCTTTTTGGGTGATGGAAAATAATAGAAAAATCCAGCAAATTCATCATTTTAATTGTAAGCATTTGTCAGTTTCCATTTGCTATCATAACAAATCATCCATGATTCAGAGACCGATTAAATGTCATTAATAATTAAATTACAAGAGAGTTGCATTGGAAATGAGAAGACAAATTGACTTTTGAGACTTCTTTTAATTGCATTACTCACATAAATCTCGTCTCTTAATGCTATTTAAAATGAAAAAATCGAATCCACTTTACCACGCGCAATAGCATCACATTTCATCTCCCTTTTCGTAAAATTCACTTTAAAAATTTATGAATTCTAATACAACACTCTAATTTAATTTACTTAAATGCTTTTCACTGTTCAAACTCATTCAATTTGTTTAGTTTTATTATCATACATAGGAATATATACTATGAAGCATAAAGCTGGTAGAAGATGAGAATTAATATGGGGAGAGTTTGTGCTGAAACCGTTGGATATAAATTTTATGTTACCTAGTTCTGTCAATAAAAATTTTCACACGTTTGAACTCACCGGCAATTATCAATTTATGCTGAAATCTTCTTGTTGTTAGATATTTGGTAATTACTGATATTAAATCCCGTCATTTCATCTGTTTCAACATCTACCTCTTCCAGAATAGCTTGTTTCGACTTTGAAGAACTGACTTTATCCATAATTTGTCCCAACATTGTGACTCCGATAATTTTTCTTTTGTTAAATTCTCTCAAGCATGTATCATATTTCATTCTCATAGCATGTAAATCCGATGGATTCAGTTGCTGTTAATATTGGTAAATGTTTGAGTAAGAAGATATTAAGAAACATAGAAATACTTACAACCGTCGTTTCATTACGCTTCTTCAAAGCATCAACTTTAATTTCAAGCTCTTTATTTCGTTCGGCTAGTGCTGTATGTTCTTTCTCAAGGACGGGCATTGGAATTTCCTCATTATTGTTATTCAGCACTTCTCTTAGATTTTTGATTTCTTCTTCTTTTTCTTTTACTTTCTTTGTATATTTCTTGATTCGTAGATTGACTTCTTGTACGTCCTATTAATAAATATACACACATTCTTTCCAAAATCGACCATTAATCTATAAATTTAGCTACTTACATGATTCACTTTCTGGTTCTTAAAATTGTAGCAATAAATATTTTGCTTGGATATGATTTTATTCTTCTTAACTAGTACATCCAATGAATTCTTCAAGCTGTTCTTTGGAATGTCTTTGAATCCTTTCGAATGGATATCATTTAGATTCAACGGTCTGCCTTCTTTCTTCAAAAATGCTTCAATTAAGTCCACACTCATTTTCACGGGTCTCTTTGAAGTATTGTGCTTGTAAATAGTTTAGGGGCCGTTCACTTATTACGTTACGCAAAAAAACGACTTTTTTCACCCCCCCCCCCTTGTTACAATATGTTACAACTCACACCCCCCCCCCCCCCCCCCCCCCTGAACGTTCATAATTTATTTTATCATTAAAAAGGTGAAATTTAAAAAAATGTTTTTGGTATGAATTTGTAAACAAATTTTTTTCGTGAACTTTTTTTAAAGACAGACGACAATTAGAACGTTACTTCCTTCTTGACCCCCCCCCCCCCCCTATGTTACATTTTGTTACAATTTTTCAAATTTATTTTGAATTTTACAAAACCGTTGGATTTTTAAATATAATAAAAAACGTTACTATTTTGGAATAATTTGCATTAAATTACGCCATGATTCTCCGCATATCTTTGGAATATGATCATTGTTTAAATTGCATTAATACTTTATTTATCTGTAAACATTTCACTTATGAAAGAAAAGAGAAAGATAACAATGATATCATGTCAATTAGTATAATAACGGAAGTATTAACAAAGTAGTGCAAGTTCATAAACATCCTGAGTGATTCATCTGATATGATGCAAACTTTTTACTACTAAATCAATTTTTCAATCACAATTGAGGTTGGGTGTCGTCAAAAATATTTTATTTGTGGATTATGTTGGATTTAATTCATGATATGGCTTCTCGAGTAAATTGAATAGTGGTCTTATATCCAATTTTTCTGTCATCACCTACTATTATTCAATTCACTCTCTATCGTACGCACGTTCTGCAAATAAAATGATTCGCAAAAATGACAATAGCACGTCGCATTAATAAAAAAAGATCTTCAGGCACTTAAGCTGATCAAATCTAATAAACAAAATGATTTATATAGAATTTTGCATTATGATTCATCCACTCTTATTATGAGTGATTACGAGTGCCATTGTGATAACGAAAATGACGATGTTAAGGGTGTGCAAAAATTGTAATCGATTGAGCGTCATGTTCTGACTAAAATAGAGTAAAATTCCTTTGAAAATATGACTTGCGTCTTACCTCAATGGCATGGAATTTGAAAAACAAATATGCATCATACCTGAAAATGACAAAGTGGAACGAGAAAACATGACTTTTTGGTGTTTGAGAATATCTTTTAAAAAATTGTTAATTTAATTAACATTATCTCACTGAAATGACATTTTAGAAATTTGTTATCCATAAAGTATATATGCTGCTTTCTTTCACTTGATTGCCGAAACTCACAACATATTGTAAATTGAAGAACATGATGACAAAACAACATTTCTTTCTCATCATGCATTGCATTGCCGCTTGAGAAGCCGATAAAAATAACAACAGTGAGAAAGAAAGATCGATCGATCATCATCGATGCTGTTTAAGATGAAAAGAAAACAGGTTGAAATCAAGTGCATCAGATGTTGCGTCAAAAATTAAACACTTCAAAATAAAAAAAATTTCTTTAAAGTAATCACTTGAGAATGTTCTTTGGGAAGAAGCGATCGTTGGACATCAAAGAAACTTAATTAGGGAATTTGGATTGAAAGGATTTTTATTTTAATAAGAAAGTTTAGTTTAGAAACTGATGAGAATTTGTGTTCATTCAAGTGCTACTTTTTTTATGAATCATGGGATTTAACGCGGATGTTTCATTGAGTAAAATATTTCGTTAAATTAAATACTACTAGGTGTGTATCACTTTGTGTAGTAAGTGCGAAAATGGATGTTTTTGGAATTTCAGGAATTTTTTTTAAGGTACTTTTAATTCTATCTCATTTCCTAAGAAACCAAGAAGTTCTAAAAATTTTGATCCAGAATCATTACTTCCTTCTTACTTACTTCAAAAAAAATTCTTTTGCCTTCATTTTTCATTAAATTTTAAAAGATAGCCACAGATTTAGAGCTTATAAGAGTAGTATTTAGACACATCTGAGAAAAAATGTGCTGTGAGTGTTAAAAACAATGGCAATAATAAATTTATGAGAAAAAGTAACTTCTATTATGGATAGAATGTTTGCTAGTCTTTCATTAAGAGTCATGCTCACAAAAATATTTTTTTTGGAAGGTAATGAAGATGAAGAAATGGAATTGCTGTTTTTATTTTATTTCAACATAAAATTCACATTTCAAAAAGTTATAATTTTATGTCTTGTCGATGACTTTACATCAGTTAAAGTTTATGAAGTAGAAATTGAAATTAAAAGAAGATTTTTATGTCCAATTGTTTGAGCTCATTCAAATTTTTATGCTACATATCGCATAACTGGAATTCATCTCGTGATTTTATGTGTGTGAGTGGCTTTTATAACATTTCTGTTGATGTCACGCCAAGAGTTATTGCTTGACTCACTCTCCAGTTCTTAACAGTTTCTGACTGATAAACAGGAACAAATGCTTCCATTCACTTTTAATTATTCAATCTAATTAATTATAACAGCGCGAATTTCTACAAAATATTCACATCCGTTTTATGTTCCTTTCACTTATATGGTAGTACTATTTGATATTAAGGACTGTGCATGCATCTATGATAATTAATATGACATTTATTGATACCGTGATACAGTCGAGGATTTCATGACATAACATTTTGACATTCCTCATCTATCGAGTAGTTTAATAGATATAACTGATTAGATTAAATTCAGTCATTACAACTGAAAAAGGCTTATGAGACATGAATGGCATGTAAAGCTTCAATCATGTCACAATTGAGGAATTTTTCGATTTAATTATGACTGCACATGACGACATAAGCTTCATAATGACAAATTTCTTATAAATTTCTTGCATTTCTTGCACACTTGCTAGATGTGCATCAACATGATTGCTTTATGTTCCATTGAATAAATTTTATAATTTGCGTTATTCGTTCTTTGTGCTCAATTAAGATATTTTTGACATTAAGACTCGAGCAAGCAAGCTAGCAATGCCAAATAAAAAATTATTCCACCTACGAAATAAACTTGAACATTTTCGGACATGAAAGAAGCTGCAAGCACCAAAATAACAGAAACAACCTTCAATTTGTGACATCACCGTTGGTTAATTTCCATAATTTTTAAAGTTTCAATTCTATTAGATAGATGGAATATAAAATAGCAAAAAGCAGCACTTGTAGATGCTGTATGAAAGTAAGATATGATCGACATGTCGTAAATAAAATAACAAGACACAAAGATTCCATTCAACTTTATTCCATATTACTCATGAGTAAAAAAGTTAAGGTGTTTTTGCATACTTAATTAACAGTTTAGCAGAATACCGACAACAGCCACTTACAACAAGTTGTATTATTATGTAAGTATCAGATCAAATGATTCATTGAGACATGTTGATAAAGTTCCCATTTAACCAGACTCAAGTTCGAGGCAACAATAAGAAATAATCGTGCACATTTTCTCTCCCGTCCCGTCCCTTCCTCAATCCTTTCTTCTTCTTCATCGCCTTCATTCCGTAAGATTCTCATTCATAGAATTTCATTTCATTTTGAGCCTGTGTGCCTCAATGTGCCTGAGTTCTGTTCAATATTTATTTTCGCGATCGTATTTTTATGGCGCCTGATTCTTCACACATTATTATTGTAGCTTTAAAATCCATAACACAATAAATTGTAGGATTCGAGCAGACTCCATAAATTAACAACAACTGTGTGAGTTTTTGTGGAGGCGCTTTATCTTTTTGCAAATATTCCCGTCGTTCTTTCATGCGCTTCCAAGAAGTCAATTCACGGGAGTGATCTTCCGCTATAGAACATTGATTGATCTGATTTAACGAGTACCACACTTTGAGGTGAAAATCAGTTCCAAAGAAATTGTAAGTCAGTGGCAAACAAATGTGATGAACAATGTTGGTGACTCTCTTGTCGTGCCATTGTCATGCTAATCATTCATTACGGATCATAATAAAACATTTTTTGGGTATTGTATTCTAATTAATTCATCAAAATTGATCGTAATTATTTGATGTGAATATTTACTGACTGAATGTGATTAAGTCATAAATATTTCAGACTTTCGTTACCGCATATCCAACGCGTATCATTACAATCCAATTTTAATGAAAGTCATGAAAACCATAAAGAGATAAACAATGAGCATGAATGAAGAGAAAAAGCTGGAAAATATCTAATTAATAATTATTTTTTTCGACTGACTTTCTCATCGACATTGAAATTCGTCAAGCTCTAAATATTTTCTTCTTCTTGTTAGCGAATATGTCAAATATGCGGATGAAAAAAAGAGTTACGCACCAACAAGTCAGTGTCTTTACTGATTCATTTGTATTGTCACAGTTTCAAATCTTCAAGTGTTTCATCTGTCAATAATGTTATGAAGCAATTTTCCACGCAATCAAACAAGTCCAATATTTGACTTTTCTGTTTCTTTACACAGCTCATTTAACTGACATTTAAGCCATGCTTCTACTTATTTTGTTTGATTTCTTTTGGAAGGAAGAGAGAGGCGAACTCTAGTGGTATCATTGAATGAGATGAGAATATTAAAATTATTATTAAATCCACAGCATCATCTCCTCCTTTTCCTTTCATCTTAGTTGTCTGTTTGCCTGTTTGTTAGTCTGATTGTCTGTTGTCCTATCCACATTCATATTGTTACATAAATAAGTTAATCGGTGAAACACATAAAAACAGGTTTTCGTCTCCAAAAATAACAACAACATTTAAAGTGGAAGTGCAGAGTCTCTCTCACATAATTGTGTGCTTTACGTCTCATCGTTGCCAATGCACAATGCATTCATAAAACTAGCGTGAGTGAAATGCAAAATATATTTGTGAAAAAAATAAGATTTAGAAGGAAAGAAGTGAGAGGAAGAAAGGCGAGGAGAGCAAAAACCACCCAAACAAATACAAGAAACTTGTTTCTTATGCAGCACATGCGGGAATGTGATGATGATTCATCCAGCGACAGACGACAAACTTCACTTTTATGATATTTTTTTTTTTATATTTTTCAATATGCAATAAATTTTCAAGAACATTTGCACAATAAAAAGA